GTTAACATGTTTTTCTCTGTATACCATCCACAAGAAAAATATCCAGAACATCGTGTCATTATGCATAATCTTCAATTTCACAAAGAATTTCGAACAATCAAAAAGGTTGTTGAATAAAATTTGTTGTACTTCACAATTTCATAGCATTACCACTATTTTATTAGAACATGCGGAATGTGGTCGGTCACAATAAAGAAATCTCAGCGTTCTTCACAATTTAGAGCACCTTAAACAGGTTTTCATATTTGAACCGACTTTCTTTGGCATTTTCTTTACATTACTGCTAAAATTTATTTTGAAATAGTCATTCGAATAGACATGACAGAAAACGATTTAATGACATGCATTACGGCCCAGACCAATGTACGCTGATGAGACAACTCTGATTTCGCAAATCCTTGGGGACCCCCAGCATCTGATCATGGTTCTGCTCCTGCTAGTATCAGTTTCTACCCCACTATCCATCATCATTGAAAATGAAGTGCTTGAAAACACTTATCGTTTTACTTATCAGGAATCCACCACCACAAATAACCTGTTGATTAAAAGAAAAACATTGGAAAGCAAATTGATAAATCTGTTCAAGTTGGGGAAACGAATATGGGAGAAAACGACCAGTTGACATTGAACGTAAAACTGAAGGAGATGTGGGCGACTGTCCTCTATACTCTGTTGTATGGCAGTGGATTCCAGACACGTCAGACAAGAGAACTGTTTACACAGTTTTCATTTTTCCTGTCTACAGTGTATCTATGGCATCACAGCGAGACAAAGACCATGATCGTGCTTTCCTCTTCTAAAAGCGTCTGGAACAATGGCATACAAAAAGATTTCATGAACGTCGTCTGGCCAGAGGTTACCTCTGTAGGTTTCCAAGCACTGCCATTCAAGGATGTCTACAAGCACGACCTCAAATTCACAGGCATCAACCCAAACCGGAGGAAACTGCTTGAACTCGACCGCAGCGGCTGGTACCATGCTGTTCGAAGAGAAATCTACAGGATGGAGGAAAAGCCCGCACAAAAGCTGGAAGAGAGGAAGCAGGAAGCAGTGACAGCAAACTCAGGCCTTCGATTTACACACCAAATTTGTCTGCAAACTTTACAGAAGAGACTGTCTTGCTGGGATCGTATTGCTGAGCCATTACAGACACAGACCTTTGTAGGGCTGTATTTGATTGACCAAGGTGCGGCCATTATCTGGCGAGATAGATGGATAAATACTACGAGTTTAGTACAACACATGGTCATATAGTCCGAAAGATAGGGTAATAAATAAAAAAACATTATCGTTAGTTTTGTTTGTTGGTTGTTTTTTTGTTTAAATTTGACATATAATTGAGTGAACTCAACTTTGATTAAAAAATCTAGTATGGAGTTTAGAAAGAGAGCGATAATACAATACACCATAATTTCCTCCTTTTATTAGCTGTTCCCTTCAGGACGTGGGCAATTATTAGTCATTTATTTCTTTTTCAAATAATGTTGGTGTATTGAACTAAATTAAAACATCAAAAACTAAATTTAATATTTTTTGAATTTGTATTACGTATTTGTTACAAAGGACACCTATATAAATAAGATATTTTACGTATGCAATTAAAAAAATACTTATTATAATAGGACTTTATTAATAAAAATAAAATACGAACAAATAAAGCACTTTCAAAATTCAGAAAAATTTAAAATCACCTGTCGTTCTTTTTTTATATAATCTAAAACATACCTGTAAATTTGTTTTGTATATTTCATAGTTCCATCATCATGATGTGATTTTAGAATTAGTATTATAATTAAAATTAGTATTAAACTTAGTATTAAAATTAATATTTTTTGAAAAGTGATTCTCTGTAAAAGTAACTTTCTTTCAATTTTGGCTTGACCAACACACACACGCACATGCACACACATTTAAATATATATATATATATATATATATATGTGTGTGTGTGTGTGTGTGATCGGGCGCGCGTGTGTGTATATGTGTGTGTGTATGTGTATGTGTGTGTGCTCTTCTGGAACTGACTGATGGTTTGATTGATAAGCCTGGTGGAACAAATTGTACGTCTTTAAATTTGAATATGTATGTCAGGTGGTTCGATATCTGTGCCAATTTTTGATGGAGCTTTTCCAAACGCTTCCATTGGTGTATCATATCGGGTCCTGAAGATAGATAATTGTTCACTGAATTTCTGAGATGAGGACTTATCATTATTTATATTATTTACAGTAGGACTAATGTCCTTAACTTTGTTGTTACTATCACGACGTTACGGCTGTTGTTCCGTTCAACCTTCTTTAAGTGTCCATCGACCCGGATAGCAATAAATAAATTTATTTAATCTATAGGGGCAGATAAGAGTAAAACTGACGTAACATAGAAACGTCCTAAATATGGGTGAGGCAATAAAATCAGGTATAGCTGATCATATATGGAAGGAAAAGGTTTCTAATTAACACCGCTAAAGTAAAGTAAAATACTAGTCAGAGAACACTGGGTATAAAGACGTCTGAAATAATCAGTGCATATGCTCGGTTATGAAGGCTACCTCCGCAGGCTTAGCATAGATATACTTACCATATGTTAGTCATTAATTACGAAAGAAATAACATCCTACATCAGAAATAGAAGTAACAAATAAAACGGGGTCAGGAAAGCAAAACGAAAAAAAGAGAAACGGTGCTCGAAGGAGACAAGGCTGAAGAAAATCTACAGTAGAATAAGTGTTGGTCAGTAAATATATTGGCATAGCAATTGTGAGTTAGTCGGATTGTACAGATATACTCAGTATAAATGGCACTAATGATAACTGAGCAATACTAAGGAAGGTAATTAACAAAGTCGAGATTTATATGTGGATACTGACGGGGGAACAATCTATTCCCGTAGATTAAATAAAGTTTTCAGTTTGAAACTCCTAAAGGTTACCTGGATCGGCAGACACCAAAGGGATGCAGGAGAGCACAGTGGCTGAATCGTTATTAGAGCAAGAGTAAAATTGCGGATATTAGTCTCACAGAAAATAACTTGATATAAATTGTCTCTTTTTGATAGAATATGTCATAAAATATATAATTTTGGTGAACAGCATAAAGACTGTGTACCAAACAGAAATTGGTAGTAAGATAGTTTCGCAAGACATTGGTTGTCACTGAATACATTATATATCTAGTTTTGTACCACAGCTGGCTTAGTATAAGAAATATCCAGATATATACTAATGTAGATACTGACAATTGGAAAGAACATGTGCCATTGTGCTGACAATGTAGCTCATTTCACGTCATTATATATGACTGGGTACTTCCTTTAGGCAAGATATAAGTAATATTGTGATCATTAGTAAGAGTATCCGTCGTATAATATGCGATTAAATGCTTGTTTTTAAGTCCTTCTGTTGGTTTAATCCTCTGTTCATATGGAATATACATGTGTATATTCTCGCTTGAAATAAAATATATATTTTCATGTTTTGTTTTATAATTATCTTTTAGATGCATGTGTAATAACACCAGGGAAGTTGGAAAGGAAAGATGACATAAAAGTAAATGACTTCTTGGTATTTAGCTTGAGACTGGTTTTGAATTCTACAAACAGAATCAATTTCAAGCATTGAAATGTATGCATATACATCAGGTACTGATCCAGGATTTTGATCAGGATGGAGTCTGATCAAAAAAGTTTATGCGTTGTTGGTGATCAATATAATAGCAGAGAGTTTTGAGGTTTTCTATAAATGTAGGCGATTTTTATGTTTGAGACAAAGGCATTTATCACTAAAACTGACATTTTCTATATACCTTCATGATTTAGGCCACTACGGCACTCTGCAAATTGCTTCTCTCTATTATCTATGAATGGCCATGAATTCTTCGAGTGTTTTTCTTTTGGATGCTCTACGCTTATGAAATCAGCGTTTTTTTTTGTTTTGTTTTTTTGTTATTGACAACAGAATAAAGTAAAAATGCAGCTTAATGAAAGTCATTTACCACAGAACAAATTTATTACAGTTCCATTACTTCTTTACACACACACACACACACACATATATATATATATATGTATAGATAGATACATATATATATATATATATATATATATATATATAGATAGATAGATAGATAGATAGATAGATAGATAAGTTTCGATAAACATGACTGACAAGATACTGTGATTAAGCTTTTTATTTTTTTTTCTTGTATTCGTATACATATTTTCTTTTCTGGACATAAGTTGTGTAAAAATTGTTCAAATTGTCTGCATAATGGCAATATCCACACTCAAACTAATGGTGTTAATATGGGAAATCTACTTGGTCCGTCCTTCTCTAACTTCTGCATGTCCTACGTAGAAAACAAGATATTTAAAAAAAATTTTACTAAACCCACAATGAGATATTTTTATTTTAATTTAAAAATAAAGAAACTGATAATCTCAAAAGCAGATTTGAAAAACTTTCTGTCTTTAACTTCACCTATGAACTTATTAAAAAGCTCCCATTCTTAGATGTTCTTGTAGATTTATTATTCATACATTCACTACCTCGTTATGCAAAAAAAGAACATAAGTAGAAACTCTTGCCACCTTAATTAGTGAATGTCCACTTAGATAGGTGTTATAAATAATTTCGTAAAGAGAGCATGCTAGAATTCATCCTCTCGTCCACTTCTCTTTAAAAAAAAACTTAATGGGAATCAGACGCTAGTTTTCCTAACTAACTCGTCGAATATCAGATCAAACTATTTCTTTCTAAAATAACTAATATCTATATTGAACATACGGATAAAAACGATAACTTTAATATTTTCTATAAAAGCCACTTTAACTATAAACCGGATTAATTTTCTCCCAGACACATTATAAAGAATACACAACCCCAGTTGACCAGAACAAGAAAATAAAATTATCTACTATAAAACATTTAAACAGCTAACCAATCATCAACAATAATAACACATCTGCAAGATCTAAATTACAAAGAACCATATTTATGAATTCACATGGCCTTTTCGTTATTTCGCTATTTATCTATCAAAAAGTCAATTGTTTTTGCAAGAGCAGTGTGGAGGTTCGGACGTCCTATACACTTCACCAGGATTCACACTGATCTATCTATCTATCTATCTATCTATCTTGTGTATTTTTGTGTTTTTGGTTGTGTGTCTCTCTGTGTGTGTACCTGATTCTGTTTGTCTGCTTGTGCCTCTGTGTGTGCGTGTGTCTAGCTTTCTGACCAACAAGTTTCTATATGCAATTCTACATATTTTATGAATATCAATATTGATTTTCACTTTTGAGCTGAAATTCGAATTTTGAATAATTCATTAAATTTATGTTTTGTCTTGTGTTTGTATCTGTTTTTTTTTTTCATAGTGAATTTTGAATCACTGATTTTCCAATAAGTTATAAGTTTGATGCCATTTGATTGATACTGGATGTTCCAAATTTTTCAGGACCGACCTTACAAAATAATCAACTAGGTCGATTCCATCAAAGATAACTTTAAGATGCATTTTGTATTTTATAATTTTAGGTATGTAAACAGATTCAGTAGCTTACAGACCCCTGCTCATGGGCCCCAAATTCGAAAAATTAATACTTACTTATTCGTTTTATTGTCCGAAATAGCAGAAATAACTATCTTCAATGTGCACTTAATTATTTATATATTTTAGTACATCATGCGGTTGAAAGGATTCTACTGTCTCGATATAAAATTAATGTATTTGTTTTAAGCATATTTACTGTATTTATTCTTAAAAAGAGAAACGGTTTTTTTCTGACCCTATGACTGACATAGCCTAAAAAAAGGGCGCATCAAATTTCGATTTGGTTGTGCCAAAGACATGTCACATTGGAAGTGTTAAAAGCCAAATTCCTCTGTGACTATCAGATTTCCATACTCCTTAACATACCCCACTCTTGATTCATAAAGAGCGACAAGCTGTTATGGAAAAAAAACCAAGTGTAGTAGTCTGGACAGTGACGGCCGGATTCGGCCTGCTGCTGTTCTTCATATCCCTTTGGCCACGAAAGAAAAACCTCCCTTTCTCCGTGGTCTTTCCGTCCGTTCATCTACAAGCTTCTTCTTACTCTGATCTTTTCGCTGAACGTGAAATAGAATGAACAGATGTTCCGCTAAGCGTAGATAGGAAATGTCATGGTTGAATTGCTTTTACAGTGTACTTACAATATGAGTATTATGATGCCTTGTGCTGTCCGTTCGAACTTAGCAGCCTTTAACACACACAGAGATATGCGCAAAGGGAAATTAAAAGAGAGAAAGAAACAGCCACAAAGAAAGAAAGCAAAAAAGAATGAAAGAAAGAATACAACATTCATATCCACCGACCTATCTACCTATCTTGACCTGCAGAAAATGTTCTCTTATCCACACTATTCAGAATGGACTTCTAGCTTCGTAACCTTTTATATTAAAACGGTTCTTAACCTCATTTTTTTCGATTACGCCGATCTTCACTTGTTTTAAAAATCTACATTACAAATTTGCTATAAGCATGAATAGACAAATTCAATTTCCACTACATCTTCCTTTAGAAAACTTGCATGCAACACATAAACTCGTATATATATATATATATATATATATATATATATATAGAATTGATGGATTCTTATTTTTAATCCGACATTTTAATTACTTCAAATGTTATAGTCGACACTCCGTATTTGAAATAAAGTTCCATTTTTATTTATTAAACAGTGTGCATTACGTCTATCGGTCTGCTCACTCGAGAAACGTCAATGAAAAAAAAAACAGAAGCGTTTCTCGGCAGGATATCGAGCCCTTTGATCGTGTGTGCTCACCGCTCAGCTACGATAAAGCAAATGAGGCTCTATTTTCATTTTAAAGGAAGTACATACTCAGATTAAATCCATTAATTCATTAGAAATTGAATTTTTACGTTTTGGATAAGAAACTTAGCAAATATAAAGCTTTTGAGGAAATAATCTGGGTGACGAGAACATTGGATCAAACGGTGGGAGTAAGCATTTTTTATACTAAGGTTTCTAATTAAAAATGTGGCGGCTATTTCAAATACGGTGTATTAAAAACAGTGAGTCATACTGCTATTAACACATTGCTCTTCAACCGAAGTGAATTGTGCTCTCTGGGCCACTGACGTATTTCGTATAGAAAAACTTTAAAATTTCGTTATCTCTGCCGATAGCCTAGGGTAGAATCTCTGACAGCGAAACATTCTGTCTGTGAATGACTATATATATATATATATATATATATATATATATATATATATATATATATATATATATGAGTGTGTGTGTGTGTGTGTGCATGTGTGTGTGTGTGTGTGTCTATATTTTTGAGATGAGGTATTATTTACATTGTTCGGACTATCGTACTTAACTTTGTTGCCAACATTGTACGCTTGGTTGGAATGTCAAATTGAACCCTTTATTTGTTAGTTAATTCCCCTCTCCAAGTTCTCCACTGCCTTAACTAGGTATTGAACTCACACTGGATCTAACTAATGCCTTTATCCACTGTTCCATGTGTCCTTGAGGACATCTGTGTATGAATTTCTGGGGCTTATAAACGTAATGTCTTCAGTACCATTTTTACCAGTGCTCATATTGCAATTTTTGCTGTTATCATTGCATGTTTTTTACCAGAGCTCGTATTTCTATTTTCGTTGTTATTATTGCTTTTCTCTGGCACTCCTTATTACTGGTTCTCATATTGTATTCATTTCTATGCTTGGTCGGCTCAGGAGATTTTTCTGGTCTAGCATATGTGCTGATTCCTTAAGTTTACGAATTTTCCAATGATGTTCTTTGTTTATGATTTCAACCTGCTCCCACAGAGGGTGGTGATCTCCCTTTTCTCTCCATATGTGGTCAGCCACACCCGATTTCTCCACTTCCCCTCGTGTTACAGCTTTTTGGTGTTCTTGAAGCCTTACCTTAAGGGGGCGGTATGTCTCCCCTTTAGATTTCTTTCTGCAACTGCACGGGATGGCGCACACACAGTCTTTAGTCATGTTCTCCTCTATGGGAGTCTTACTCGGGAGAGATATCTGTGAATTGTCGTCCAGCTTTTGAAGGTTATCCTGATGTTACATAGACCGCAGAGCCTTTGTATTTTCTCCGAACTAGAACAGTCTACCCCAGCGAGCGAAATAAAGAGTTCAGTTCGACATTCCAACCACCTAAAGAAAGCCGGAGCGTACAAAGGCCGAAACGTTGTGATATATATATTATGCATGAAAAAAGTCTCTCAGTAAAAATAGTTTTGAGGGTCGAGATCATTTCAGTAATACTTGCTAATTCAATATAATTGTTCAACGTCTTAAACAAGAATCAATTAACCGTTTGTGCAGATTATCAGATTATTATATATGAATGATAACATTATTTCGATACTGATTACATTTACAATTTTTTCTTTTCATGCTTGTATTGTTTATTTTTTATTTTAGAATTATTACATAGAATTTTTTTTTATTTTCCCTTTTACTGATTTACAGATAGTCAGTGTAGTACCTACCTGTAAGTCCAGTCCAAATTTTTCATTACGTCAAATAATTATTCCATTAAGCATACACTTGTCATCGTCAATGACAGTAATACATTCCTCCTTGACTTCATACTGCGCATAAATTTTTGTACAATAATTGAAAAAAATCTTATTAAAATCTTGGATTAAAGTGGAAATATCCAGAATAAAAAAAAATGAAAATATTTGTTTACACTATATTCACGTGTGTAATTATGTGACAGCGAAAGTGTCAACAAATGTCACTTTTAATATTTCAACTGATTAAAAGGTTTAAAAAATAGATGTCGAGAAGTTTTACCTGCTTTTACTGAGATCAATTTAACCAATAAAATAGCCAGATGATTGCACCAAACTTCGGCCATGAAGATCAATATTGGAAAACATATTTTTAATCCACACTCGAACATCGACCGACGCGTTCCTGAGAAATGCTACTTTACACTTAATAATGTAGAGAAACAAGAAGAAAATATTTTTGTCAAGTGATAATTTGGCGTTGAATATGGGTTGCGGATTAAACCCAGGTTTTCAATCATGTTGAAAACTGTGATCTCGTCAGATCAGTGAAGTTAAGTAGTGATACACCTGGTCAATAAATAAATAGGTAAACACTTTGGAATAGAAGTACAATAAGCAATATTATGCTTAACTGAGCAAAGCTTAGAAAATATATATTTCTACTCCAAGGCAACCCAAGAGTACCTCACGATTTCATCAAACTTTGGATGTTCTTCATCACAGTATGATTGCATTGATGTTTTGTTGTTCTCACCTAATAATCCGGAATTGTTTTATTTACGGATACTCAGTGTTTTCCTAATACACTAATTCACAGTCACCCAATATTTGCATCATACAATCATTTACATGTATCAATGTTTGTATTTTTTTATATAGTAAAGTTCACCCATTGAAGTGGGGGCACTCGAGGTAGAGGGTGTGGGTAAGCAGGTAACTTGTGAGGATATGAGTGGAAGATAACGATTAACCCTAGCCTTGAACATGTTAAGATTGTAGTGATTAGGGAAACATCCTCTTGGGGTTCAGTGGTTCGTAGAGAAGAAGTTCTAATACACTTTTAAGAATATCCAATATTTGCATAATATACTCACTTACGGACACCCAGTATTTGCGTCAGACATTCAATACTCCAATGCGGAAATTTCTGTTGTGTGTAAGTGAACTTCGTAATTGTTAGTTGAAAATTCGCTGACATAAAAGAAATCTGAAGCAAATTGAAGTATAGGCGCCAATGTCATGTAAATTACTCTTTACAATATAAAAGGACATTCTTTCAAGCTACTGCTATAAGATAATTTTTAGATGCTGGTAAGTTGGTCGGGATTAGATCTTTTCAGAACACTATCGTAAAATAAACTTCTTGTATAAGAACAATTTATTTCTGTATAAAATCTGACTCCTGAAATCAGTATAGAAAAAAAGCTATAATAATTTTATACTTAAATTAATTGGTTCATTGTATCATCCATTCGCACGATTTTATTTTCCGCTATCCGATAATGTCTATTTTATAATGTAAGTTCATAATAGCATTAGTTAATAGGTATTTTCTTTTCTTGATATTAAGACCATTACTTGAATTTCAAAGTTCCTTGATAGTATAATCAATAAATAAGTCAAGGTTGGTTTGATTTGCAAAGCCAGTTCAACAAACCACAAGTTAAGAGAAAAAGAATGAAAACAATAAAATAAAACTTGTCCAAGTGACTAGAGAAATGCTTAAAATGAACGAGAGCATTAAGAATATTCCGAAAACCCTTATGAGAAGATTAGAAAATTATTAGATACAAGAAAGAAATGTGATAATTCAGAGTGCAACCATATTGAGATTAATGAGAATTGAAGTGAGTGCTAGAAGTTTGGGAAACTAGTTTTTGATATGACCTTGTAGATATATCCTGAGGGAATATAGAAATAATGCCTTGCTGGTTTATCAGATGTATCTCATGGTCTCTCATCTTAACAGACTAAAGATGTTATCATGTAAATGTTTTGTTTTAGGGAATTAAGATGAGCTACAGTAAATATCCCATTCAATACAACAGATTTGCTTGGCTATTTTCTGACCATGAACTGTTAAGCATTTCCTTTAGAGACTGGCGCAATGTATATCTCCGTTCATCAACGAGAATAGTGACCGGGTGTCGAGAGAATTATTTTTTCAAGTTTGTAGGATGAAGCAAGTTTGTAGTTGAAGGATGAATTGGGAGTCATATCTAAATACTTACGAACATCCTCAATCGAAAGCAGAATGGATTATCCGACAGGAAGGTATTTATAACTGGACCTCATATACAATGTTATGCACTGTTTTTTTGAAAATATCACAATATCGTTCGGATTTACTTATCAGATATCCTTATCAGACCGGCCGGGTGTCATGATGGGGTATATTGTCCTTCGTACAGTTATGCACCATATTTTTGTTACTTGGCCATTTCATCAATTGAAACAGGGCATATGAATTTAATCACTACTAGAGCCAGGGATTGATCTAACAATTCTACTCATGTAAAGATTTACGACATGGAACTGCCCAGTCTTCCCTTTCCAGTCTCGATAGAGTCCAAAGACGTCCCCGCACACTTGTGGGTGACAAATTATTTTCTCCACTTCAAACTCTTTCTCACAGACGAGATTTCTCAAGCCTCTCGCTGCTCTATCGCTATTTCCATGGAAAATGTTCAGAAAAACTACATTCCATAGTTCTACCAATTCAAACCTTCATGACTAAGGCTCACTAGACCATGCATATTGTAGCGAACCAGTATTTGTATTCCATTGGTGAAATGTAAATTTCATTCGAATTGCTTCTTCCCACGAACTGCTGCTTTGTGGAACCGACTCCAAAGAGGAAGCTTTCCTGATCACTACAATCTTAACCTGTTCATCTCTACGTATAACCGTTATCTTCCCTACATATATGCATAAACTGTGCCTCTGTAACCCTCTACCCCAAGTGGCTCTCGGGTTTTATACAGGGTGAACATCATCGTAAATAATTAAATATAAATTTACACATAGTTTTAATAACATTTCTGTCGTGTCGTTTCATAAACGGTTGTCATATCTGCTCCTAGTAGAAACGCGTGGCAGTTATACTTACAAACAGGATAATAGTGTATTAATGTAAAGTTGATATCCATATACATTTTTTAATATTATGTCCATTCTGGATATAGGTAATCATGGCACTCCACATATTCCGTTTCTTTATTTTCTGAGTTGCTTTCCCCGGGGTTTTGAACTCTCTTGAGTTCTCTTTTTCTTAGACTAATTGCCATCTAAGGCTAGAGAATATCATCTACTATGTGCATTAGAAAACAGAAAACAGATCCATAGGTCTTATAAAGAGATTGAATGAAATAGAAATTCACAAAATAAATTAAATGATTCAGAACAACAAAAGCGAAGTTGGTAAGAATTATGCCCACACCGTTTGAAATAAGAGTAGACTTGTTGTTACTTGATCACAAATCCGAGCTATTACAATTTTTTTATGTGAATATGTATATAGCAATAACGAATGTACTGAAAATCCAAGTGAGTCTCGCTGCCAGTTTTTTTTTTTTTTTCCCCGCTGGTCTGTTGTCCCGTGTCATCTCATTGTAACATAGCAGAGCTTTAATTTGTTTGCCGGCCTATTTGCTATGAACAGCCCCCGCCTTCCGTTTGCAAGCACTTTGTTATGGTAATGTGCAAGATATTGCGAGATCAATCAGTCTCTAAGCTTGAATGCAATGCGCGGAAAAAGCTAAATTCAAGGGGCTGGAATAATAAATAAAGAAATAAATAAAAACAGCAAAGAGCAAAATGAACATAAAAAATGGCAGTAGTTAATAATTCAAAAATACTTTTCCAATTAAAATCATCGCTTAATTTCAAATATAACTCGCTTTTGGTTTTAATAGCCAGAATTTGACCGAAGTGGTATATTAAATTTCAAGAATTTTTCCTTTGCTTCTTCATTTATCTCTTTTTCACACTCTTTATCTTTTACTTTCTTTCCTTTATTCCCTCTTTTTTCTTCCTTTTTATTTACTCCTCTTTTTAGCTCTCCTCTTATTTTTCCTTTTTTCCTTTCTCTTTCTACTTTGACTTCTTTATCTCTTTTCTTTATTTCTCCTACTTTCTATAAGTTCTTTCATTTTCCTCTTTCTTTTTTCGTTTGGATCTCTCTATCCCCATTCCTCTTCTTCATCACTTCTTTTTCTAGATTTGTAGTTATTTTTCAGATTTTTTTTAATTCCTTCTCTTTTAATATAATCTTTCCATTACTTTATTTTTATTTCTCTTTCTTCTTCCCCCCACCCCGTTTTTTCTTCTTCTCTTCGTTCTCTTTTAGCATCTCACGGTTTTTCTCTCGAATTTTTTTATTTCTCAGTTTATCTTAATTTCTCTTTCTAATTTTGAGTGTATTTAATCATAACCGTTTTCCTCACGTATGCTTTATCCCCATATCAGCTTTGTCATTATTGCTATTTTTATTCTCTTTCATTGGATTTGGAAGTACTTTTCCCCGATATTTTTTATAGATTGCTTTTCAATGGATTTCTTTTCAATGGATTCGAATGTAATTTTTACGATATGTTTGATAGATTTCTTTTTGATAGATTTAGTTTCAGTCTTTCCTGATTTTTTAATCGTGTTATTTTCAAATGATTTGTACGCTCTATTATTTTAATGGTTTTGTGTTCATTCGATTTAGATGCACTTTTACTCAATATGTTTTATGGATTTCTTTTTGATAGATTTACGTAGTTAATCCCGATAGTTTGAATAGGTTTATTTAAAATCGACGAAGCCATACATCTTCCCGCTAATTTTAAAGCATATTTTTTCAATGGATTTAGATGCACTCTCTTCACAAAATTTTGGTAGACATTTTTACAATGGATTGAAACTTATTTCTTCCCGATGTTTTTGATAGAGTTTTTTCATTGCCTCCAAGGTATTTTTTGATGGATTACTTTTTAATCTATTAAGACACACTTCTTACGTGTATTTTTATGAATTTATTTTAAATGAATTTAGTCACATTTTCCTATATTTTTAGACACCTTTTCAATAGATAGACTCACTTCTTCGTTTTATTAAATGGTTTATTTTCTATGGATTTAGATGTATTATTGCCATGTTTTGGTAGTTTAATTTTCAAGTCAACAAGAAACATTTCTTCCTAATGTACTAATGATACGCTTGATGTACTAATGATATACTTCTTTCCGATATTTTTAATAGCTCGTTTCAAAGAATTTAAGTGCATTTTTTGTTATTTTTAATGGCTTTATTTTTAATGGATTTATACGTATTAGTTTTTGTATTACAATCTGTGTACTGACAGTGAAAATTATTTTCCTTGGTATTTCATAAACTTTGAACATTTCCATAAATTTATGTAATCAAGAGCTTTCCTAAAATCTGCACAAGTCTGTATTGATGGAAGATTTTATCTTCAGTACTCTCCATTAATGTACGTGGTGGAGTAATAGATAACAACTCGAAATCGAAGAGCCGCGTTCGAATTCCAGTCGGGTTCGTTATATTCACTTACGCTCAAATAAACTAGGGACAGGTATGAATCTATCTCTTTTCCCCTCAGCTATTGGATGATCTCATAGCCTTAGTTGGTAACCAATCTCATAGCCTTAGTTGGTAACCAATCTCATAGCCTTAGTTGGTAACCAATCTCATAGCCTTAGTTGGTAACCAATCTACCGCAGAAAGAAATGGTAGCTTACTGCGGGGAAATCTTCTGTCTAATCAGTTATGAATCGAAAGACTGACATTTATCGGGTATGGCATTTAACTGACTGACTCTCGATTTGACAACGTAATATTAACGTATTTGCAACCGTATATTGTCCTTATCTAAATCTATTCTAGTTAATTGTTAATGGATTAATTAGGGTCATCTTCCTTATCTTCAGTTAATTTTATAAATCTATAATTTTGGTTCCGATCCCCTTTCTTTGACAAAGCTTTTTGGTACCAAGTCATTGTATTTTTTGTTGCACGCTGTCAGAAATGTATACCTTAAGCAGCCGATTTCTATATCACTGTTGGAATTTCTGTCAAACCCGCTGCTCGTAGCTGAAACTTTATAGATGCATTAACATATTGTTGTTCATCAGTTCGCTTGACTGCTCTAATGAGACTTTCAAATAAAGGATTCACCTTAAAAGAAGAAAGAAAGTCGATACCACGAAATCACCTTTACAAACATATATTTTAAAGATGATCTAGATCTTGAACAAATAATTTTTGTTCATTTTGACTCATTCCTGATTGTCGTAAAATAAAATTTATCCATTTTTAATCATTCTTGAATTTTGTGAAATCATTTTTTTCATTTTTACTCATTCCCTATTTTTGTAAAATAATTTTTATTCAATTGTACTCATTCCTGATTTTTTGAAAATAATTTTTATCCATTTTCGCTCATCATAATTTTTGTAAAGTAATTTTTATTCACTTTTACTCATTTCTGATTTTTTTAAAATAATTTAATTCATTTTCACTCATTCCTGAATTTCGTAAAACAATTTTTATTTATTTTTACTCATTCCACATCTTTGTAAAATATTTTTTTATTAATTTTAATTTATTCCTGATTTTGGTAAAATAATTTTGATTCATTTTGACTCATTCCTGATTTTTTTAAAATAATGTTTATTAATTTTTACCCATTTATGATTTTTCTAAAATGATTTTATTCTTTTTTTACTCAGTCCTGATATTTGTAAAATAATTTTGTTTGTTTTTTACTCATTCTTTATTTTTGTAAAATAATTTTGGTCTATTTTTATTCATTACTTGTTTTTATAAAACCATATTTATTCATTCTTATTCATTCCTTATATTCGTAAAATAATTTTATTCATTTTTACTCATTTCTGATTTTTCTACAATAATTTTTATTCTTTTTTAATTTATTCCTGGTTTTGGTAAAATAATTTTTATCCCATTTCATTTTTATTTTTGGAAAATATTTTGATTCATTTTTACTCATTCTTGATTTCTGTAAAATAATTTTAATTTATTTTTCACATTCCTGATTTGGATAATAATTTGGATTCCATTCACTCATTTTTGTAAAATAATTTTTATAAATGTTTATTTATTCCTAATTTTTAAAACAATTTTATTTATTTTTATTCATTCCATATTCATGTAAAATCTATTTATCCATTTTTACTCATTCATGATTTCTGTAAAATAATCATTATTCATTTTAACGCATTCCTGGTTTTTGTAATGAAATTTTATTCGTTTTCACTCATTCCTATATTTGTAAGAAATTTTGATACATATTTATTCGTTTCTGATTTTTGTAAAATAATTTCTATTGATTTTTACTGATTCGTGAGGTTTGTAATATTACTCATTCATGAAGTTTGTAAAGTAATTTTTAATTATTCTACTCATTCGTGATTTTGGTAAATAATTTTTACCCTGTTTTACTTATTCCTGATCATATAAAATAATTTATTTCATTTTTACTCAATCCTGATACTGGTAAAATAATTTTATTAATTCCTGATTTTTAAAATTATTCATATTTCTTTTTACTTTTTCCTGGTTTTTGTTAATTTTTGTTAATTTTGACTCTGTCCTGATTGTCATAAAATATTCTTTATCTATATTTAATAATTCCTGATTTTTGTGATATAATTTTTGTTCATTTTTACTCATTCCTGATTTCTGTAAAATAATTTTTAGCAATTTTTTCTAATTTCTGAATTTTGTAAAATAATTTTTATCCTTTTTTACTCTTTCCTAATTATTGTTTTTTTTTGTTTTTTATTCCTGCCTTTTGTAAAATAATTTTTATTCATTTTTACTCATTCCCGAATTGTACAAAATAAGTTTTACTCATTCCTGATTTCTATAAAATATTTTTTTTCATTTTGACTAATTCCTGACATTTGTAAATTATTTTTTACTCATTTTTTGTACTAATTCCAAATTTTGGTAAAATAATATTTTTTCGTTTATACTAATCATGATTCATTTAAAATAATTTTTATTCATTTTTACTTATTCCTCATTTTGGTAAAATAATTGTTTTTCGCTTTTATTCATTCCTGATTTTTGTAAAATAATTTTAAGTCATTCTTGAATTTTGTAAAATATGTTCTTCTTTTTACCTCATTCCTGAATTTTTAAAATAATTTTTATCCATTTTAAATATTTCTTGATTATGTGTAAAATAATTTTTATTCATTGTTCATCATTTCTTATTTCTGTAGATAATGTATATTCCTTTTTAATCATTCCTGATTTTTCACTCATTTTTACTCATTTCTGATTCATATCAAATAATTTCATTGATTCTCTCTTTCATGATATTTTATAATAATTTTTATACATTTCTACTCATTCCTGATTTTTGTCATTTTTACTGATGCCTGATTTCTGTAAATAATTTTATTCATTTGTACACAATCCTGACTTTTGTAATCATCCGTATTTGAGCGGCAAGATTTGCCGGTTCAATTGTAGAAAGGTAACCGTACATCATCTGTTCGCTTACCTGTTTAATAGATTTAATATTTAATAAACTAAAACTAACTCTTGTTTCCTTCTGTTTCCATTTCCTTTATTCTGTTTCCTCATAATTTTCTCTTTTTTTCCCTCTTTTCTTTGATTTTTCTTTTCATTTTTTTCATCCTATTCCCTTTCTTTGCCTTTTTCTTTTTTCTTCTTTTATTTTGTTATTTCTTTGTCTTTCTCGTTTTTATTCTTTTTTTTCCTTTTTCTCTTTCTTGCGTTCCTTTTTTTTGCTTTCTTTCTTTTTTCCATTTTCATAATTATACACGCATATTTTTACCTTTCTTTTAATCCCGAAAATGCAATAATTCATAAATGTCTATTACTTTATATTTCTGTCCTCTGAAATCGTATGTAATAACCTGTCAAGTACTTATATTATGCATAACAAGAGCACAGTTTAAATGGTTTTCCCTAATTTTTCTCAATACTCATTTTAATAAGTTTTTTCCCCAAAATTCATTTCTTCGTCTTTTCTTCTGCATTTTTTTTAAAACTTATCGTGAAGTTTTCTCTTGATGTCTGTCCTAATTTATCTCAGTTAATTTTGCAAGATTTAACATAGAATGCTTGGCAAAAATTTGGGAAATAATTCTGAAAGTTCTTTAAATTTTCACGTATATTTCTTTCGTCAAAAGTACCCAGCTTTGGTAAATAGAAAATGCATTATTCTCTAGCATGACAATGCAAGTCCACCTTTTACAAAACAAAGCCTAGAAAAAAATAAGATCCTTAGGATTTCAAGTTTTCCACATCGTCCATTTAGCATGTACAGATTTCCATGTTTTGATCACCAGAACATTACCTAAGTGGCAGAATATTCAGAAACAAAGATTAAGTT